TGAGGAATCTCCATACTGATTTCCATAGTGGTTGCACCAGTCTATACTCCCATCAAGAGTGGAGAAGGGCTCTTTTTTCCCCACAACCCTGCCATTTGTCATTGGCTTTCTTTCTTTTTTTTTTTTTTTGGTACCGGGGATCCAACTTGGGTTCTTGTGCTTGCGAAGCAGGCAGCGAAACCACTGAGCTAAATCCCCAGCCCATGGCTGACTTCTTGATAGCAGCCATTCTTTCTGGGGTGAGGTAGAATCTCAGCATTGTTTTCATTTCCATCTCTCAGATGACCAGTGATGGTGAACATTTTTTCATATGTTTGCTATTTCTACTTTGTCTGAAAAATATCTGTTCATATCAGATGCCCATTTTTGGATTGGGTCTTTAAATTCAGGGGATCTGATTTTTAAAAAGTTTTTTATATATTCTAGATAGTAGACTTTTGTCTGAGGAACAGCTGGTAAACATTTTTCCCCACATTGTGCGCTGTCTCTTCACTCTGTTGGTGGAAGACCGGTCTCAGAACTGTTTCTCCCAATTGGCCATTTAAGTTTAATAGTAAAAGGACTGGTTAGTGATAACAATGCATTGTAAAACCTTCAGGAGGAAAGGAGAATGTGCTTTGTGGGCCATTTGTTTTCTATTTGTGTGTGACAGTTTTAAATTATTCTGTCACAGAATTTTGAGACCCGTTAAAAAAAAAAGACCTCTACTCTTTTTTTTTTTTTTTTCTTTTTGAGACAGGGTCTCCATGTGTAGTTCAGACTGGACTTGAACTCACTGTGTAGCCTAGGCTGGCCTTGAGCTCACAGCGATCTTCCTGCCTCAGCCTCCCAAGGGCTAGGATCCTGGGTATGTGCCACCACACCTATGACTATTACCTAAGCAGCTATACTTATAATCTTACTGGTTGATCATAGTTGTGACCCACATCGCAGCCACCTCATGATTTTGTACCCGCCTTGTGATTTTGCTCTGTAAAACTTCCTCTGAGAAGTGGTCTCATTGGCAGCCTGCTTTTGGGTCTCTCAGGAGCCATCTCTCTCAATAAGTTTTTCCTACTCTTAACCTCAATTGTTCCTTAGAATTTATTCTTCGATGTTGGGGAACACAAACTTGGTGTATCTGACATCTAGCAGGTTAGGAGTTATATTATTTCCTCTGTATCAACAGTGGGTGCTCTGATGTGGCTCTCAGACCCCTCACCAGCATCAAAGGAACTATCTTCCCCTTCAGCTGCTTCTTCCTCTATCTCCTCCTCCTCCTCTTCTTTTTCTTTCTTTTTCTTGAGACAGGGCCTTGCTATGCGGTTCAGGCCAGCCTCAGCCTCCTGCCTCAGCCTCCTGAATGCTAAGATTACAGATGTACACCACTATGGCCCACTCTCCCCTCGGCTTCTGGGAGTGCAGCTAGCACGGTGCTCTCAGCTGTGGCAGACCAGAGGCGCTGCCCCCGGGGAAGAGAAGCTTTGAAGGCCCACAGAGCCTGCAGGAGCCTTACTGACACTGCAGGCACCTGGCTGCTCCTGTGCCTAGCCTGTCTCTATTCCCTCTTCCTGCTGGAGCTGCCCCAGGGGACTGGGCCGTCACAGTCAGGCTCCTGGGGACTTGACCTGTCACAGGCCACATTTCTCACTCTGACTAAACTACCTAGGACGTCAAGTTTATCTCACAGAGCCAGGCGCAGCACACAGTAAACACTAGATGTTCTCCTCACACTCAAGCCATGCTTTCTTTGCTCTCGTGGTTACAGATTTTTTAAAAAATTCCTTTCAGAGCCAGGCATAATGGCACTATAATCCCAGCACGAAGGAAGCTGAGGCAGATTGCCAAGGGTTCAGGGCCAGCCTGGACTACATAGTGAGACCTTACCTCCAAAACAGAAAACAAAAAATAATAAAAAAAAGTAATAATTTCTCCCAAAAGACCAAAAGGGGAGACTGTATCCCACACTATCTTTTCTCTTCAACACACACTTTACTGAGATATAATTCATACAGCATAATTAGTGTACAATCCAGTGGTTTTTAGTATATTCAAAACTGTGCAACCATCACCACAATCAAGTTTCAGAACTTTCTCCCTCCCCTCCTTGCCAAAAAAAGCTTCGTACCTATTAGCAGTAGTGTTTCTTCCCTCCATTCCACATGCGGCCAGCCATCAATCTACTTCCTGTCTTTGTAGGTTTGCCTATTGCGGATTTTTTTTTTTTTTGGAAACAAGGTCTCGCTACATTGCTCAAGCTGAACTTGAACTTGCAATCTTTCTGCCTCAGCTTCTCAGAATGCTGGGATTACACTCATGTGGCACCACCTTTTGGTTTTCATGATGCCCATCTTTTCATGTGCTTATAGGTCATTTGTGTGCTTCTTTCAGAGAAATTCCTATTTAAGTTTTTCATTCTTTTAAAAAACTGGGTTATCTTCAATATCTGTAGTCTTGTTTTCTTCTGTGGAGGGGAACATCACCTCTTCCTAGAGTTACTGTGTGAAGATTAAGGTCAGAACATCTGCAAGGACACAGCACACTGCTCTGCATTTAGCACGAACTCTGAAAAGGTAGTGAATGAACCTTCATCTCACCTTGGAAGTGGAAGCCAGGTCTAGGTCTTTCTGCTTTACACCATCTGGCTTAGCGGTTCCCAGGAAGACAGGCTCAGTTAACGTCTCTAAGGATCAAGGGGCAATCACTCTACCCAATATTCAAACTTGAATCTTATGTGCTTTGCCTTCTTTCGCTGAATGTTTTCTTCCTGGAACAATTTTCTTAATTTTACTCCCCTTTGCCAGCTGCTTCCTCTCCTGACGTTTACCTCGCAGCAGCATTGAAGAAGTGGAGGACCAGACAGCGCCTGACAGTTCCGACGTGAATAGATAAATCCCTGAAAGAGCGGAGGCTGGCAGCCTGGGAGTACAACCGTCCCATGTTGGAGAGCTGCACAAACGGTAATTAAAATACTTAAGACGAGTTTTCAAAAACCCTGATTGCAGCCTGAATTATTTAACTCGGGCCCAAGGAATCTGCATTCGTGGCGAGCCCTAGGCCGCCATCGGGTCCTGATTTGGGGTCGGTGGCACCTGCCCTGGAGGTGGGGGGCTGGAAATGATTTATCACTCAGGCCCAGAGGCGAGTCCGGCTTGATCTGACCCTCCGCGCCCTTTGGTAAGTCGGGGCCCACCTTCCTCAAAGTCGGCCCGCACCAAACCCGCCCTGGTGAGACAGGGGCGTGCGCAGCACCTGCCAGATCTCACCGGCCACTGGGATGCCGGGAGTGTGAAAAAGAGGCAAAGGTTGTGTGTGCGCGCTGGACGGGGGTCCGAGGCCGCTAGGGTGGGGAGAAGCCGGGGGGCTCTGAGGGGGGCAGGGACCGGCTCGAATTCCTCTCGCTTTAGGACGGTCCGCGGCCCAGGAAAAGCCCTACAGACCACCCGGGGGGCGCGGGGACAGGGCCTGTCCCAGGAGGGCTACCAGCCAGCGGGCCTCGTGCAAGGGCGGTACCCAGGCCCCACACCCTGGGGCCAACCGGGACTCGTGCTCGCGAAAACCGCTCACGCGAGCCGAGGACAGCAGCAGGGCCCACTAAGGATTAGGCTCGGTGGAGACCCATGCACCGGGTCTGCGGCGCAGGCGCGAGCGTGGGACTCCGGTGGGCGGGATGGGCCACTGCGTGCTTCTCATTGGATAGCGCTGCTTGTCAATCACGGATGAAACGCGAGCGGAGGATGTGCTAACCCAATGGCAATCCAGGACCTCGCCTTCGCGGAAGATTGGCAGGTACGCGAACCACTGAAGCGCCGCGGAGGGGTACCAGTGCCCTGCTGTGATAGGTCAAATCTGACGTTTTTAATGTGCATGATTGCTCAGTGTATATACGGTAGATGCTTTTCCTAGAATTTCTTAGATTCTTGGGACCAGATGATGCACCCGTCATGTCATATATAGGGTCAGGGCGCTAGGTCCCAAGTAGTCACAGAGATACTAGGAACAGTGCGTTCTTCGGTGAACTAAAGCTAAGAGTAAGTGGATGGTAGTCAATAGAAAATGAAACATAAAACAGTTTATTGGAGGGGGGAAATGCAAAAGGGCCCTAAACATTTTAATGGGGCGCTCAGACCATTTCACGTAAGGAAGAAGGCAAGTTAGACCTTTACTGAACCAAGATTTCTGATCCATCCGCTTGGCAAAAGTCCAAAAGCTTGACAACACTGTAAAGAAAGGTGCAGAAATTGGTTCTCCCTGTAGAAGATGCAGACTAACCTTTGACCTAGCAGGCTTCTTCTGGGCGTCCACTCTGCAAATGAACTTCCACAAACAGGAAGCAACACGTACCCAAGCTTTATAGTAATATTATTTGAATTAGTAAAATTCTGAAAACAATGAAGAGGCCGTCAGAGGGAGAAATGGCTGAAAAAAACTGGGCTGTGGCATTCAAAAAAAAAGTAGCAGCCGGGCATGGTGGTGCTCGCCTGTAATCCCAGCGCTCTGGGAGGCTGGGGCTGGAGAATGGAAAATTCAAGCCCGGGTGATTTAATGACTTAATGAAACCTGTCTCAAAATTAAAAAAAAAAAAGGAGGGGCATCGGTTTGAGATACAGCTCAGTGCAAAGGCCCTAGGTTCCATCCCCAGTACTGGGGGAAGAAACAAAGAATTGGGAAGATGACAATATTTTCTAAGGAATGATTTATCTACAGACATTGTAGGTAGGGTGCTAAGAAATGCCAAAAGGATAGAACCTAAACTGATAAAAACAGAGTGCTTGGTAAAAGTCCTAGGGGGAAAAATAGAAAACAAAATGACAGTAGTTTAAACAAACAAACAACAACAACAACAAAAGTGTGGCAATGGAAAATCTCTGGGCTAGACCTTTGTTTTCCCAGACCCAGCAGTACACCTGGGAAGGCATGCTTGGCTGAGTGAGCCTCGAGTTATTTAAAACTGGGGGGTTACGCTGTAGACTGGGCTAAGGATTTCTGGTACTCTGCTCTTCTCCAAAAAGGCCTCTCCCTGGAGGCTTTGAGAACAGGAGGAGGGAAACAGCATTGACATGGGAGAGTAGGAGACCTGCCTACCCGGCACCTCTCCAGCACGGAGTAGAGTCGCTATCCCAAATGGGGTGGCAGACCTCTCGGATGACTGTGGGTCTCTGCCAAGTCCAGCCGTCCTGCAGATGCGGCCCAGAGAGAGGTGTCTTGCTGGTATTCTTCTGCAGTCCCTACTTCCACATAAATGACTCTGTTGCCTTTATTTATTTATATTTATTTATTTATCTGAGGCAGAGCCTGTGTAGTCCAAGTTGGCCTCAAACTCACGGAGATCCTCCTGCTTCAGCTTCTGGAGTGCTGGGGTCACAGGTGTGCTGGACCCATTCACGTTTATAGTTGAAATCTGATCCTGTACTTTTCTTCCCAGGCCCAGAGAGCCCCCCAGAATATAAACTTGGGCTTTGTCAAACTCTTAGGTACAGGGAGGTCCTTGAGACAAACACATTTTCTTAAAATCAAACGGGAAAGGCCAAACCCACAGTGAGCTGTTTGTAGTAAAATGATTCACATGTTCAGAGTTAAGAAAAATTGAAAACCAGTACAGGCCCTCCATGGGCATTCACAGCAAGGTTGCCTCCAGTATAGCTAACTCATGGCCATTGGAGAAGGCAGTTATTTGTAATACAGGAATGGAGGAGCCAGCTAATCCTGTCCACAGGGTGGAGCTACAACAGTCATTTTTGCAGGAAAGGAGGCCCGGAAGAGTTTGTAGCACAGGGATTGGTAAATGGGGATGTGTGACAAGGGGCCCCGTGTGGTTCTGAGCCTGGAGACAAGAATTAGTGTCTCAGCCACTGCTGTTTGTGTTTTAGGGCAGTCAGCCTAGGACAGGGCCAGAGTAGAGAAGGAGGGGTGCATTGAAAGGCTCGGAGCCTGATTCCCACTGCCAGGTGTGACTTTGAACACCTGTGTGGTCTTTTAACCCCAGTCGGAAGAGAGTTGGGTTGAGGTTAGCTTTTCTTGGCTGCGATGGCTCCAGGCCCAGGTGGAAGTGACATCATTGTTATGGCTTCGGCCCGGGTGAAAGTGACATCATAGTGATATTTTGGCATGGGCTGCCACACAGATGCCTCCCTCCATGTTTGCTGTCTCCATCCATCCTGCCCTGTATTTCTTTCTCTCCTACCTTATGTTTTCCAGCAGCCCTAATGGTATTTTGTTTCCTCATCCCGATGCCACAGTGATCCCATCCCCTTGCTCATAATTGGAGGAAACACAGGTACATGGCATATCCTAGCCACTGGGACTGGAAGGTGGGGGGTGGCATCTGGAGCACTTCTACTCCTGGACACAAAAGCAAGAGATGGTCCTTTTCCCGCTTCTGGACTTGACACCTGGACTCCTGCAGCCATCTTGCCATCATGAGGAGAGCTAGTCTGCAGCAAAGGGCCAGGGAGAGACTGAGCTAAGAGAATGGCAGCTGAGCCCTGGGGCTAGAGCTGCTGTTCCTTTGGACTTCTCATGAGAGACTGTCCTCTTATTTAAGCCAGTTCAGTTGGAGTTTTGTCTTTGCAGTCAGGACATCTCAGCAGCTACAAGTGTACAAAAGTTCCTTCCACTTATTTTCCCCACAGCCATGAGGCTTTTGACGCAAGCACATGTGAGTTATTCCTGCTTGGGAAAGGGGGTCCCTGGGGCCCAAGATAGGGAACAGATCATCCTGGAATCATAGAGTATCTAACATGCATTTACAAAAACAAGACTATTTTTTTTTTTAAAAAAAGAAAAAAGCATCGACAACAAAAATGAACAGAAAAAAGCTCGAACATTTGGACTGAATGGCAGATCCAGAGCAAAGCAAGTATCTTCAGCAAAGAAGGGCCAGGGATTCAGCTCAGCAGTGCTGCACCTGCCTTGTAAGCAGAAGGTCCTGAGTTTGATCCCTGGTACCGGAAAAAAAAAAGAAAGAAACGAAAGGAATATGCACCGTGAGGGCTCCCTGAAAAGCTCAGGCACACAGGAGGCGATGGGAAGAAGTTAACCCTAGTCACTTGAGGTGTCCAAAATGCCACGGGTTCTTCCATTTAGTGATTTCATTTGTTTCAGCAAATAAAAACTAATCTAAGAGCTTTCATATGTTCCTTCCATAGCACCCTCCCTAACTCAGTTTTCTTGCTGTCTGTGGGGCTATGAAAAGCAGGATCTGTGGGCAGGAAGGAGCCAGCTTCATTTCCACCACCATCGTGATGCATTTATTCAGGGACCAAGAGGTCGCCTGTGGTGTCCCAGGCACTGTCTTATAGATCATTTGAGCATATATATATATATTTTGTTGTTGTTGTTGTTTTTGTTTTTTGCAGTCCTGGGGATCAAACTCAGGACCTTGCACCTGCTTGGCAAGCAGTCTACCACTGAGCTACAGCCCAGCTCCATGCTTCGTATTCGATTTCATCTCTCCAGAATGTCTAGACATAGACATGTAGGTGTAGGTGCCTTCAATGCACACAAGTCTTCTACATATATAAAGGAAGTCTCTGCTTCTGTGAAACTCTTAGAGGCAGCTCACTCCGACACCACTGTGGTGGCCCAGGGTAGAAGCTGAGCCTTTGAATTCAACTTTTTGCTAAAGAACGCTCCCCTGCTGCTTGCTGCCCCCACAGGAGCTTCCAGAAACCCTTCTAAGACAGAATGAGAAGGCGTGTCTGGGGCAGGAGCTGTGGTGATGTCCTGTCCTCACTGCACCCTGAACCTCTCTCCACCCGACTTGTTGGGGCCTGCTGGGGCGGGACTGAGCTGGCTCAGCAGAGGGCCTCAGAGGGTCACCCAAGGGCCAATGACAGCCGAAGCCTCACCTGCCGGCAGAAACCAAAGGGTTGGGGGTTTTCTCCTCTGAAGAGAACGCTGATTCCCACAAGGTGATACCTAAATCGCAAGTGTTGAGCAAAATTGTATGTCATCCACCTCGCTATCTATACGATCAACTTCTGCCTGCTGAAGTGTGGAAATCACAAGCCCTTGCGCCCAGGGTCAGGGCAGTCCTGGTACCGGAGTCAGGTCATCCTGCGTCACGTCTTGCTGGGCGGCGGCCTACATGTCATAGAGCCGGAGCTGCTCCTGCACGTCACCATCGGACATCTCGCCAAACGTCTCCTTGTTGTCCTTCATGAGCTTAAAGATGGCAGCCAGCTGCTCTTTCTGAACTCTGTCAAGAAGAAAGGATAAGAGGAAAAAGATGCTCCTACCCCAGCCAACAGTGAGAGACTTTGGAGCAGTGGGTGGGGTATGGGTGGAGGAGGGGCTCTCTTCTCTCCATGGTTTCTGCCTTTGCTTTTCGGTATAACACAAAGCAAGTGGGAGGCTGAGGCAGGAGGATCGCCACGAATTTGAGGCCAGCCTGGGCTACATATCAAGACCCTGTCTCAAGAAAGAAAACAACCAAAAAAACCCTCCCAAAAAAGAATAGGGCCGGGGATTTAGCTCAGTGGTTCTGTCACTTGCCTCGTAAGCACAAGGAGCCAAGTTCGATCCCTGGTACCAAAAAAAAGAATAAAACCTAACAGGACAAAACTCACTTGAATCGAAGACACTGGCTTGCTCTAACACACTCCACACTGGGATTCTAAGGTTCAGATTTACTGTGGAGGTTGGGGGTCTGAAAGTATCCCTTAGGGTCCCATAGTGATACCTCAGTTTCCCCATGTTGACTGTGGATCTTACAGTAAGGCAAGGAGGAAGAGAATATGTCTCATTAAGTGGCTTGTACTCGTATGAAGAAACAGCCTCAGTTTAGGGGGATTGGCCAAAAGCGGGGGAAGGGAAAACATCATGGGCCGGGGGAAGGGAGAGCATACGGGTGGCTACAGGAGAGCTGGGCAAAGGGGCAGCAGTAGGCTGAGGTCCAGCCCGTGAGGCTTCCTTTCTTGGAGCAAAGGCCTTCTATTTTGCACAAAGATGCACTTTGGCAGGTGGTGGCCAGGCCCCTTTCCAGGGCCTGGGCATGAGGACTGGCAATCGTGTTTACTGCCCTCGGGACCTGTGGCTGCGTACATGCTGTACATGCTCTGTTATCTTTATGAGGCTCAGCCCCACCATCTGACTGGCACAGGACAACTCCCATAGCAAACACAAAGGGCGGCAGGACGGCCAAGGAAGCCAGGGCACTGTATGACTTTGTTTGTTCCGCTCTAGCACCTTACACGGCGAGCCCACTGTGGCTCCCTCTCCCCATGCCGGGTTCTCGATTCTGTACTAATTTAAAAAATTTTATTACTGTTCAAGAAGCATTGCCATGAATTCCCCTTGAAAATATTCCCCCTTGCATCAGACACACTTATCCCATCATTCCTGTCCCTTTCTGAAGCTGGTCTGGAAGTCCTCTTTTGTGGGTCTTTAGTTGCACCGTTGTGGCTGCCTCGATGCCCAGAACCAATTGCAAACATTTACCTTTTGTGGTCATTTTGACTTGGGGAAGAGCCAGAAGTCATGGCACGATTTGGTGAAGAAGGTGAATGAGGACACTGTAATGTTTTTGCGATCCTGGCTTTCTGTTGAATGGCGCTCAGCAGCAATGAACAGTCACCATGTTTTTGATTACAGCTCAAAAAGACACTCACCACAGAGGACTTCCAGAAGTGGTTCAGAAAGTGGCAAGAACTATGGGACACGTGTGCTCCAAGTGAAGGGGGCACGTTTTGAGGGGGGCGAATGGCAATGTGTCTTCTGCAATCAGTTTTTAAAATTTAAACGTTCACCATGGTTTTCGACCACTCCTAGTATATTCAAGCTCCCCTATCTGGAGAAGGGTCCTACGGCACACACTTTTACCCTACTGTCCAAGCAAAAGGGGTATCATGAGCCAGAAGGGCTTGTGCTGAGCACTGTGACCGAATCACTACCCATTTGCATATGAGCATCTCCCTGAATGAATACAAGGTATTTCACAGAAGTGGCTGTGCCAACTGCATATTTTAAACAGGGTGGGCACAAGGCTTCATACTCTGTGGAAGAATAACAGAGCATGAAAATGAAAGAGAGCTCAAAATTTAATAAGTTCCAAAGAGACTACTTTTTTAAAAAGCAAGCTGAAAAAACACACAGTAACCAAGGTAGGTCATCTACTCAAAGTTTATTGGACCAAAGGAAGGCTGAATACAGAGAGCCAAGCCGTTGGGATACATGAGGCCTGCTGCCTACAAGCCAGCTTCGGAAGTTTCAGACAACCCTAAATAACTACACTCGGAGGAGGCCACTACTTCATGTTAATAAGATCCTGGCTTGGACAGGGTCATAACTATTGCTACTGAGTAATGTATGAGTACATCTTCTGTTCATCACGTGGTTCTGCGTCAAAGGCATCGGCTGTGTGGCTGTTGCTTTGTCACCTGTTCTGCCTGAAGCCCTGAACCTAAGGAATCAAGGCCAAGGCGAAGGCTGCCGGAAGTCCATGCCCTGGGAGGGGATGCTGGACATTTCCCGGCCTTCCATTAAATGTAAAGTTATTCTGTAAACTTATTGCTTTAGAAAAAAAAGTTTTAGCCAAGAAATCTAAGAACTGTAAATTGGCATAGTATAAATGTTGTCAAATATAAAATTCCAAGAAGCTAACCTGGGATTGATCTGCTTTTCTGGTGAGGTTCTAGCTAATCTATGAACCCTTCTGGGAAAAGGCATAGCCCAGAAATCTATTTAAAACTAAAACTATTATTATTGCTTCTGCCAGAGCAAAAGTGGAGATTCTGCTGAGCTGGTAAGAATGTCAGTGAAAAGACCTCTTTAGCAACAAGAGGGCTGGACCCAAGCCACATCTAGGAGACAAAAACGGGCAGTGGTAAAGCCAATACTGGCACTGGCTCTTTGCTGCCCAGTAATCAATATGGCACCTCTCATCCCTGGAATGAGCCAGTGAGAAAAAGAGGGAAGCAGGCTCCAAGGGAGAGGGCCACGGTCAGCCATCCCTGACAGAGCGAGTGAGCACCGGGGAGTGTAGCTGCATTGGTCTGTCATTCCTCAGTCTCTTGTGATTTGGCTTCAGTGAGGGGCAAGGGAGGAGGACTGAGATAAATCCTACTCTGATTTTAAAATGTTGGAGCTGCTGAAGTTGGTGTTCCTCGGGCATAAAGGGCATGCAGAGAGCAAGCTTGGGTGGTAAGAGAAACCCAAGTCTGACTCATCTCTTAAAACCCTTCAGGTTAAAAATGGGACCCGCACAATTGGGGTGAGTGCCTCCAGACAGGGCAGGACCACAGGCACGGCCCAGGGTCCCACCAGCCAAGGGGAAGTCCCGACAGGGGCAGGGGTCCTGCATTTCAGAGATTTGTAGGCAAGGACCCCAGAACTGCATGGGCTCCTCTCTTGGGCTTTCTGTGTTATCACTCAAGCTTTTAAGATGCCAAAAGGAAAAGCATTCAGGAGGAGGCTAAGGATAACTTCATTATTCTTCCGTTCTGTAAAAAGAAATAGGGAGAAAAAGAGAATGTATTTTATTCATTCCATCTCACAAGTGTACTGGGAGAGAAAAGGGGGGAGGAGAACGTTTGAAGTTGCAGATGCCACACTAGATGCCGGGTTCTCACACACCTGGCAGTTTGCGCCTTGTCACCTGCAGCAGGACAGTCTCAACACAAGGCTGGCCAGAGCTCGCAGAGATCCCTACGGACCCCACCCAAGCCCGGTAGCCATGGGCCACTTTCAAGCCTCTGCGGGGCATGGGAAGTGGCTGGGCATTCAAGCTTGCCGCTCTTTGGTTGGATGGTTACAATGACATTTCTGTCCCTCGAGATAACTTCTGGTTCCCACTGGCTGGGTTCTGTTCCCTCTGGGGATACTGTCAGCCTACACGTTCCTCCAGAGGGCCCAAAGAAAGGTGTGCCCGCCCTTAAGAAGAAATTGACAGAGAACAGGACGGCATCTGATCCTGTGTCTCTGGCGCCCTCTCCTGGAGGACGGACTCAATGAGCACTTCCAGAGTTTGAAATTCACGCGTGTTGATTTTTGGTTTCATGGGTACATACATCTGGCAGAAGTACTAGGAGAGCCATTCCAGAGCTGTGGTTCCTCCACCTCCTCCTCCCCTTGCCCAATGTGCCATACAAAACCCTCCTCTAGAGTCTCGTCCACTTCCAGAGAGTCAGGATAGTCCTGCAGACCCTTTGATGCCGCCAGGCCCGCAGGCTGAGCTCTGCTTTTCCTCTGGGACCAGCTGGTGGGAAGGGCCGATGGGCAGGAGCGACAGACATGCTGCTGCTTTTTCCTGCCAAGCTATGACGCCAGCCAGCTTCTCTATCTCAGGGTGGGGAACTGGGTGAGAGGGAGGCCTCCTGCCCCAGCCTGCATTGAGCTGGAGGTGGCACCTCCCAGACAAGCTGCGGGGACCGTAGGACACCCTCAAGGCAGAGGCCATGCTGGGGAAGCATGTGAAGCTCTATCCAGAAGAGACCCGAGGAGGTGAGCCAGCTGGACAGCAGCGGCCACCTCTAGATCTACAAACCTAACCACTGTGCCAGTCCCTGGGCAGAACAAGCTGTACCTGTGAGCAGCCCAGGGGTAGGAGCCCAGGTAAGCTCTCAGAGAGAGCTCAGGTGGGGCCTCCTGCTCCCAGTCCTGCTTCCTGACCTGTTAGCCGGCCTTCCGGGGCTTCCCAGAGCAGGGAACCACCACAGACACTGGCCGAGCTGATATGCCTCGGGGAGCACTTCGCCTGTTAGCTAGCTCGCAACCCCACTGAGTACCCTGAACAGTGGGAAGAGAATCAGAGAGAGGCAGAGTCTGGCAAGGAAGACTGATGGCCAAAGAAAAGAGTGCCCCGCTTGCTGCCTTTGGTTCAGAAGTTTGACAGTAACATGCATGTTATTTTTCATAGGAAAGCTCTAGGGCAGCTCCCTGGACTCAGCTAGGTCCTGAACTGTCCTGCAAGCCATCTGCTCCCCCAACCCCCACAGGGACTATTGTGCTGAAGGTGAAAAAACGAAGCTAAAAGGACCAGCTTCTGCAACCTCAAGCATTACCCCAAGGGGGCCCAGGCAGCTCAGCTGGGACCACATGCAGGGCAGGAGGAGCAAGCAGATGCCGCAGGCATTTGAGAGCCAGGGGAGCATGCTGGGCAGGGCAGCAATGGAATGAACAGGAACTCCGCCCTGCCTGTGACCTCTGCCAGCCCCTCCTCAACTCGGGGCATACAATGATGACCACTGGGGTGCCCAGGAGGAGTTGGGGGCTCCTCCCTCACCTGAGAGCAACTCCCGGGTACTGTCTCCACCCCACAGGAGAGCAGAGTGTGCAGTGGGGTTCTGGAGACCCCTGAAGGCCCACTGGGAGAGGTCCTCTTGGGCTCTGGGGGCTCTGCTTTCTTTTAAAATAATGCAGAAGGATTTTCCTTTCATTTCCAAGGCCCCAGCTCTGAACACGGGTGGCAGCGACAGACCAGTCACAGCCTGGCACTGGTCTCTCCTATTCTAATGGCCCCTCCAGGCCATGCTGTGCATCAACCTGAGCAGAAAGAGGTCACGGTGCTGTCTCAGCCCCATCTGGGAGCCTTGGAGGATGTTGGGCGTGTCAAGCGCTCTCTGTCCTCTCCTCCTGCGGATGCTATTCAGGGATTTGGGCGCCATGCAGCATCTGCTGTAGCTTCTGAGCTCTGCCACTGGAGCTCTAGAGCAGCTACAGACCACAGGAAAATGAGTGACCATGGTTACCCTGGGTTTACACCAGCAGGCAGGGACAAGGAGTGGCCCTGGCCATGGTCGGCGTCCTGGCTCTGATGATCAGAACCTGCCTGTCCCACAGCTCAGAGCACAGACTGTTCTCAGGGTGTCTGTCCCTCACTGTCTAGAGCCAGTTGGTGACCTGACAGGACTGCAAAGTGATGAGTCCACAATCCTGCAGTGCCCCCCACTGTGGGTTTCAGGGATGGCAGCTCCCCCAGCTCACATGGAGGCACTAGCACCCCAACCATCAGAGACTTAACTCCTCTCTGGGAGCCCCTGGCCCTGGGAAACCCTTGTTCGTGACAAGAAGGCTCCTGGCTAGGGTGGGAGGGAAGTGCATCCATTGGTTATGAAGGTGGTGAGGAGGCGGTTTAGACCACGGCCATGGGGACACGTTAGAGGCAGTGTGAGGGAAACACCACTAGTCTAGCAAATCAATCTCCTTACCAAAAGGATTTGCAAGAATGTTTGAGGCTCAGGACCTAGGGAACTTGCTACAGGGAAGTGAGGTCAGAGGTCAGCTCAATCCTGCAATATAAAGGCAGCAAAAGGGGTCACCAGAGGGGCAGCAGCTCCCAGGAAGGGACCTCCCTCCTGCCTGTGCCTAGGGCAACCCCTGATGCCAGCGCAGGAACCAGGGGAGCCAGGCACCAGGAGGGAGGCAGCAGCCAAATGGGGCGCCGGGCAGGGCGGCTCAGCTGGGAGGGACTCGGGGCGGCGCAGGAGCACCGCCGAGGTGGCCCAGTCCCTGGGTCCGCCCGGCTACACGGCAGCTGCGCTCACCAGCAGGGGGCGCCCCTCCGCTTCGCCGGGCTGGGAAAGTGACACAGCTCGAAGAGCCGGGCTTCGGCCACCCGGGCAGCGGCTTGACATGAGTACGTGGCCCGGTGCACATCCGCTCCTCTCGCGCCCAGGCCGAGCACTCCTGGCCCCGGCGGGGCAGCGTGGAGGGGGTGCGAGCAGCCTGATTCTAGAAGCTGCGCAGCTGCGATGCCTCGGAGTCCGCGGAGCAGAACAGATAGCGACAGGCGGGGCGGGCGGCTGCGACTGGACCGCACCAAGATCCCGCTCTGTCCCGGGTGACGAATTGGTTTCGTCATGGTCTCTACACGCAAGTGAACAGCAGGCTCTGCTCCGGGCTCTTCTGGCTTCTCATTTTTCTTTTTTTTTTTAACTGGGGGAGGCTGGATGGGGGCTAAGGGAAACCGCACCATGGCCCCTCTTTCCCCCACCATCGGCTGCCTCCTTCCAGCGGGGTCACCAGGACGGAAGACCACCCCAACCGGAAAGGAAGGGTGTCCGGGGGGCGTGGCCCGTGGGAGCCCCGCCCACACCCGGTCCCCGAGAGCGAGCGGCGCTCACCTCTGCTCCTCCTCCAGTTCTTCTTTGGTCATCATCTTCTTGTACTGGTTCCCCCTCAGCTGCCCCGGGCTGTATTTAAAGGAGAAGGCCTCTCCTGTGGAGGGGAGACCGGTGAGAGCCACGTGGAGATTCAACCCCGCCCCCCCCCATCTCTTTCCCTTTGTTAGTTTTGCTGGTTTTTGAGACAGGGTTTCCCTATGTAGCCCAGGCTGTCCTTGAACTCATGGCGATCCCCCCACCCCCCCCCGCCTCAGCCTCCCGCGGGCTGGGATTACACCTGCCCCTTTGTTAGCTTTAAAATAAGCACCTCATGCAGACAGCCCTCCTGTCAATCAGGAACAAGTGGCCCACGCGTAACCCTGGCGCCAGTGTGGCGACGTCCCCAGCCTCGGGGAGGGCTGGACACTGGACAGTCTTCTTACCCAGCTGCTGCTCTAAACTCATCCCATTCCTTTCCATGCAATCCCACAGCTCCTTGCATCTTGCCTTTGAAACGAACAGGGACACAGGATGAAAGGAGCCAGTGGGAACGCCCCTCCCACGTGCGGCTCCAAGCCCAGTGACATTTCCCTTGCTGGCCACTTGGAGCCAGCTGTGCCCCCTCCTCGGAGCCCGTTCTCGCCAGGCCGGCCTGCAAGGCTTTTCTGCCCTGTCTGGGACCACCCGATCCTGCTGCACTACGCAGGCGCAGCCTGCAGACAGGCAGACATAGCTTCTCTCGGGGAGCTCTCTGTGCCAGGCACTGTACCCCAAGGACCCTGTCCCTCCTACTGTGCTGGGGAGGCTGCCTCGTGGGCCGTCTCCTTCTCTCCATCCCGACCCCCATGGTCATTAGGAGTCCACAGTGCACATGTGGCCCATAATGGGATGAATCTGAGCAGCTGCAGCCAGAGGAGCCGGACCGCACAGGCCAGGTCTCCAGGTCCGATGAGGACACAGGGGCTGGACAGGGGAGCCTGGGCATGCCATCTAGAGCCAACACAGGCGCTGGCTGCACAGGCTGGAGGCAAGCTGCACAGGGGAGCACGGAAGAGCTGAGCATGCTGCTGAGAATCTGCCACGGAAGGTGTCCTTTGCGTCCCTTAACCAGCGAGTGTCAGAGCACGGGGGACAGGGGTTGGCTGGCTTGTTCTATGTAATTTCCATGGGTGAAAAAAAGACCAGGTGAGGGAAAGTGTTGTGCAGATGTCTCCTTTGCCAGCTTCTGTGCTCAAAGTATTTCTGGCTGCCCCTCCAGGGCCAGGAGCCTTGGACTCTTCCCCCTCCATCCCTCCACATTCATCCCACAGAGGGATCAGCCAGGCCTCCTGCAACCCCTCCAGTTGGCAACAGCCACACAGCATCAGATGGGCTGATGTGGAGCCAGGTGTGGTGGTGCACAGCTGTGATCCCAGCACTCTGGGAGGCTGAGGCAGGAGGATCATAAGCCCAGTCTGGAGCAATTTAGCAACTTAATGAGACCTTGTGTAAAATTTTTTAAAATTAAAAAATAAAGAAATAAAAGGGCTGAGGATGCAGGTCAGTGCAATGGTCCTGGGTTTAATTCCCAGTACAGCCCCCCCAGCAAAAGTGCTGCGGGCCAAAGGGGAAGAAAAGGCTTCTTGGATTAAGGTTCTTTCTGGGCCAAGAGGAAGAAACTTCTGGGTGAAGGTTTAGAACCCAAACTTTCTGCGGGGTGCTTTCCTCCTATGGAAACCTTTGGCTGGAGGAGTGGCTGGCGGCTTCCCGTGGGCCTCTCGCCCCAGCCAGGACCCAGAGCCCAGCTTCCCCTTCAGCTGCAGTCCTGACCTTTGCACAGGACAAGTCTGCTCTTCCCTCATCCCACCCGCTTGGAGAGCACCGTTCTGGGCGCTGGGGACGTAAGGAGGACCAGAACGTCCAGCAGGCAAACCAGGGCTTGGGGGCTGAGCTGGGGCTCTGGGAGCATCCCCGGGAGAGTCCGGTGTGCTGCCTAGACCTGCTGCATCCATCCTGCGGGTGCGGGGGGCGCGGACTCTGGTCATCCCTGGGCCCTGAATACCATGCACGCCCTGTGACGGCAACTGCAGCTGCAGACCAAGCTTGCAGCCCCTCAGCTGGGCCTTGGAAGAGGCGCCCAGCAATGAACACCTGCGACTCTTGGCACCCGGGTCACTGTGGTGATGTATTTTAGAAAAATAAAGCAAGAAATTCTGCCTGCGTGGTCCTAGTCTAGGTTTGATTTATGGGGCAGATCTGATTAGCTTTGTGCTTTGAGGCAGACAGAACAGACGGCTCTAGAGGGTTTAACTCAGTCCCCCACAGTGGGCTGGTGCAGGAGGGGTTGATGGGAGCGGCCCCCAGGGAGTGGCAGGCTTCCTCCCCTAGCCCACGCAAATCCTCGGCAGCTCAGCAAAGTCATTCCAGCGACACTAATCAGTTAGCCAGGGAGGCTGCTGGGTCCCTCAGCCTCTCTTCCTCCACCTCGTCCACCGCTCCAGCTCTGCCCTCCAGCTCCCACCCCTGCCTCGGTCTGCAAAAGTTGCACAATGATTTCGAACATACACAAAAATACAGCAGGCAGTAAGTCCTCTGTGTACTTGCTGCACAGATTTAAGGAGTGTTGACATTTTGCTACTTTCGCTCCAGCTTCTTTTTGAGAGAAATAAAACCTGACAGATCAGCAGGAGTCCCATCCATTCTGGTCTGTCCATCTGTCCAGGACAAGGTGTGTGTGCGTGTGGCAGAGTAGCAAGTTCCAGCTTTCGAGGGTCAAGGCCCTCTTTGTGTTTTGTTGTTGTCGGCGTACTGGATATGGAAGCCAGGGTCTCGGCACTGAGCCCGCTCCCCAGCTCTTTTTATTTTTTACTTTTGGACCTAGTCTTGCTAAATTGCCCAGGCAGGGCTTGAACTCCTGCCTCAGCCTCCCAGAGTGCTGGGATGACAGGCGTGTGCCACCACACCTGTTTTCAGGTCCTTGTTTTGCAGGGAGCCCCAGTGGTGGCCTGGGGAGGAGGTCAGAGATATTTGGTGAGAAATGTGAAGGCCACAATGTGGTCACAAAGGTGGAGTAAGAGGCAGAGAGCAGGACGGAGCCGATCGGGGAGCTCAGCTTACTCACAAGAGGGTCCCCTGCACCTGCAGACGGGCACTTTACAGAGAAGCGAGGGGGTGGTGGGGAGTGAGGGTGAGCAGGGGGTCTGGCCACCACCTCCGGTGTCCCCAGCTTAGGGCAGCCCAGGTCCAGACCCCTCCACCACCACTCAGGGCGCGCAGAGACGGAGGCCAACGGCGCCACTCACCGTCCTCGTCCTCTGGCTCTGCCGAGGGCGGGCCCTTGTCACCGTCCGAGTCCGGCTCCTCCTCCTGCAAGACAAGGCCAGGGCTCAGCGCCACAGGCAGAGCGAGGCACAGGCAGCCCCGTGGACATGCGAAGTGTGTGCAAAGGGAGGAGGCCAAGTCCTACGTGGCTCCCGGAGTGACCACCCTGGGGACAAGGGGACGGGGTGGGGTGCGGGAGGGGGGGGGAGGGGCCCAGGCCCAGTCCGCCCACACCCAGCAGCGGCCCCGTCCCGAGGCCACGATCAACTGACACGGAGAGGCCGTGGCACCAAAACAGCGCTGCTTCACCTGTGCCCCGCACGCCCTTGACCCTGACCTTCCCCAGGCAGGCTGGTCCCGGCACTTGGGTGCCATGACCATTAGCGGGCCCAGGGTCCCCCCACCATCGCAGAGTGTGAGCAAAGGCAGGAGACAAAAGCTGGGCGCTGCCCGGGACCCCAGCAGCATCACACGGACTGAGTTCCAGATTGCAGACTTCTCTGCTTCCTTCAGCACCACTTCCTTCCTTCCTTCCTTCCGTCCATCCCTCCCTCTCTCCTTTCTTTCTTTTTTTTTGTTTGTCTTTTTTGTACCAGGGATTGAACTCAGGACTTTGAGCTTGCCAGGGAGGCACAGTGGCACTGAGCTAAATCCCCGGCTTCTTGCGCGCTCTCTCTCTCTCCCTCTCTCTCTCTCTTTCCTTTCTTTCTCACTGAGCTATATCACCATTACCAGTTCCTTTAAATTTTTTTGGTAAATTTTGAGACAAGGTCTCCCTAAATCACTAAATTGCCCAGACTGAGCTTGAACTTGTGATCCTCCTGCGTCAGCCTCCCAGAGACTGTTACCAGACGGGGACTGAGGACGTTCCTGAAGAGGAGATAAGGAACCGAACCTGCCCTTCTTGTAGAATAAGGTTTGCTGACTCCCATCATAGAAAAAGAATTTTCAGGACGAGTCATGGAAAGGCAGAAATTAAAACGTTCACACTCAAAGAAATAGAGTGCAGTCAAGAGACAGAGACAGAGACATTATTTCCTGGAACTGGGAACGTTTGTGTTTCTCTCGAAAGCTGTCCCCTCAGAAGCACACTGGCCCACGTTACAAGGATGAGCCCAGTTTTTTTGTTTTTTAAGACAGATAATTTAAGCGTTGTTTGAATTCTCTCAACCTGCTCCCTTATCTGAGGACCAGGTTGTTGCTCTTCACTTTCTCAAGCCCATGTATGGACTTTCAGCGTTCCCAAGGAATTCGCGGTGTGACAGTCTGGGAGGGAAGGAGGTGGGTGGCCTTGGGTGACTTCCACTGGGTCTTGGGAGTTGCTGTCTTCTCCAAAGTCCAATTTCAGTTGATTTCAACTCCTTTCTACCCCTTGCTCCTTCTCCCCCACCTCACTGGGGTCACAGATCCTCAGCACCATGCCTGGCTCGCAATGTCATCTGCCCTCCCTGTTTCAGTCAGTGTCCACTTTTCCAAAATCGGAGCTGCATCTCTTCAGCCCAGCTGTCTCCCAGGGCAGATTCGATGAACAGATGGCAGAAGGAGCAGCCTGTCCCATCTCGTCCCACCCCAGATGGCCTTAGTGGAGGGAAGGAGCAACCTCGACTTGCAGGAATATTCGAGGAGAGCGACATGGGGATGGGCCGGCTGGGAGGGGCAGGAGGGTGCAGGTCTTGGGGTGCCACAGCAGCCTCAGGAGGAGGCTCCCCAGCGAACAGAGCAAGCAGGGCTTTCCCAAGCCAGGCATGGTCGAGAGCAGCACTCGCTAGGCCTGGTAACCCTCAGGGTGACTGGGAGCAGTGGTCTGTCCAGGAGCCATGCAGCCCTCAGCATAGACAGGGACACGCCGAGGATGCGGACACTTCAGGACTGTACTCAGCTGAGTATCTCTGCAGCTGAGGGGGGACAGGAAGAAGAGATGCCCTGCTCCTGCAGCAGACCCACCTCTAAGGTGCTGCTTTCTACACTGGACAGTCAGGATTTCTATACAAGAACTCTGAGTGCAACAGAAAACAAGACAACTATAAACAATGCAATGTTTATCCACAGTTAAATACAGCCCAGCTAAGCTGGACACAGTGATTCACTCTGGGAGGCTGAGGCAGGAGGATAGCAAATTCAGGCCCAGCCTAGGCAACTTCGTGACTTAGAAAGAACCTGTATCAAAATAAAAAATAAAAAGGGCTAGCGATATAGCTCCACATTGTCAAGAATGATAGGATAAATATGTTCAAAGCAAGAGAGAGTATTTTGAGGGGACTCATGGCAGTGTGTCTTTTACTCTACATTTAAAAAATTTTATACATCCACTATATTTTTTATTATAACACCCATTTGGCCCATGTGTTCACCAAAGTAGCCACAAGCTCAGTGCATTACAGGGCAAGTGCACAATGCGATAGTGTCAAGAAGAGGCATCAGGGGTGCCGAGGACAGAAGGGAAAAGTGGCTTTGAGGAGCCCAGCCTTCCTGCTGTGGATGCTAAGACAGGAGCAGGAGTGGTACCCCAAAGTGCAAAGTGACCAGGGAAGCTTCTGTCAGCAGGAGCCACTTCTAGAGGAGCTGGGCAGAGGGTGTCTTTGCCTTCTCATCCCGACTTTTCAGTATCATTTGGATTTTCTAATCATATGCATGGTGCTTTTGTTTTTGGTTTTTTTGCCACATCCCCAGCCCACACCCTCCTTTTTTATTTTTTTGTTTGTTTTTTGAGACAGGGTCTCGCTATGTAGTTCAGTCCAGTCTTGAACTCACTATGTAGCCCAGGCTGGCCTCGAACTCACAGTGATCCTCCTGCCTCAGCCTCCCAAGCGCAGGGATTACAGATGTGCGCCACCACTGAGACAAGGTCTTGATAAATTGCCCAGGCTGGGCTGGAAATTGCAGTCCTCCTGCCTGAGCTACCTGAGTAGTTGTGATTACAGATGCATTAGTTTTAATATATTTAAAAATCTTAGCAGGAAGGCCGGGCATGTAGCTCAGTGGCACCTCTCCTGCCTGGAAAGTGCAAAGCCCTGAGTTTGAACCCTGGTACTGGAAAAAAAAAAAAACTTAGCAGGGGTCTCTGAATAGTGAAATTTGGGCTTTTAGAAAGTATTTTCTTGGGCCAGGGATTTAGCTCAGTGGTGCTGCGCCTGCCTTGCAAGCACAAGGTCCTGGGTTCGATCCCCGGTACCAAAAAAAAAAAAGGATTTTCTTCTCTGTCCTATGAGACAAGAAAGAAAGAATGATTATGACATAAAAAAAAAAAATCAAATAGTGGGGCATGGTGGCACATGCCTATAAATCTCAGCACTTAGGAGGCTGAGGCAGGAGGATTGCTGCAAGTTCAAGGCCAGCCTGGGCTACATAGAGATCCTGTCTCAAAAAACAAACAAAAAAACAAAAACCCAATATATAGTTGGTGTCTCTGACACAGCTCCTAAAAGTTGCACTCTATGTGACAGGATGCCAGGGATCTTGGGTTCCAATGTCTGGTCTCTGACCTTGGACCCTAAGAGCGTCTTTTGTTCACGTGACTCTCGTGGCTCTGAGGAGGGATGGACGGCTCACCAGAAAGGCCGAACCATGGTTAGAAGCATGGAGCTCCCAGGCCCATCCCAGCCTCCAGAGAGGGGCAGGGTGAGGGGCGGAGATGGAGTTAACAGTCAGTCCTGCAGATGTGACTGCAGGGGACCTGCAAGGGACACACAGATGAAAAGGAAAACAATAAACACAGAGCACAAGCACATCTTAGGAACTCGTGGCCCAGGGGGGCAGGCAGCTAAACAATTGCAGTGGGTGAGAAATCCTGTCATTCCAAAGGGTCCCGGAGGGCTGCCTGCATTGCACTTCAGCCCCACGAGGTTAAGGGTTGCGCTGTCAACCCAAGAGTGGTGGCCCATGCCTGTAGTCCCAGCACTCGGGAGGGAGGTTGAGGCAGGAGGATCACCATGAGTTCAAGCCCAGCCTGGGCTACATAGTGAGACCTTGTCTCAAAAAACTGAAAACAATTCTTTAAAAAGGAAAAAAAGGGCAGTGGAGTAGAGAGACAGAAACAATACCACCACCACCAGCACTAGTACTGCTTTTGTGTGTGTGGTGCTGGCACTGAACTAGGGCCTCACACATGCTAAACACATGCTCTGTCACGAGCTACACTCTCAGCCCATTACTTTTTTTTTTTACAAAGCAAAACATTATTATATTTTGCTCTTATTTTAGAAAAATGTATGCATAATAAAAAAATGAAGGTCTGATACCAGTGAGAAGTGCAGGTGTCAGAAACAGTGCAACCGAGGCTCAGCCTGGTAGGGCACGCCTGTGATCTCAGCACTCTGGGAGGCTGAGACAGGACGATCACCAGTTCAAGGCCAGAGACCTGGTCACCAAAAATTAAAAAAAAAAGGAAAGGAAAAAATGCAGAGCTGGCCCCACAGAGATCAGATGCAGAACACGAAAGGGTTTAGGTTCCACTCTTCAGGGAGTGAGGAGCCACTGAGGTGTCTAAACAGAGCTGCATCTGAAGCACTCTGGGGGAAGCCTCGGAAGATGGGGGGCAAAGAACTCTAAGAGGAGGCGTCCGAGCTCAGGATGGAGCCAGGCTGAACTGAGAGGCGAAAGGCAGCTGGCAAGCTGGGCCTGGTGGTCCACACCTGTAATCCCAGCACTCTGGGAGGCTGAGGCAGGAGGAGGAGGAGGAGGAAGAAAAGGGGCAACTGGCCTCTCCTCCATGCTTGAAGAGTGAATCTAAGCAGGACGGCTGTGGCAAGGGCCGTCTCCGGGGTTCTCAAAGTCTCAGTCCTCGCCACCCTCAGGGGGCAGGACCATCCTGGAGGCAGTGCAATCCCAGGACAGCGTGCTTCATTTCAGGGTCTCAGGGGAAACAGGAGAGAGCAGCTGCTGTGTTCAGACCACAAACTTCTCAAAAAGCCCCCACTACTTTTGTCTGGATATGCTGTTCAGGCTGGGCTTGAACCTCAGGGTTCAACTGATCCTCCTGCCTCAGCCTCCTGGGCAGCTGGGACTACAGGTGTGTACCGAGCCTCATTCCCCACTGCTGGCTTCCT